ACTACTACTACTACTATTCCTACTACTATTACTATTACTATTATTATTACTTTTACTATTACTATTACTATTATTATTACAATTACTATTATTATTATTATTACTATTACTATTACTATTACTATTACTATTATTATTACTATTACTACTGCTACTACTACTACTACTATTCCTACTACTATTACTATTACTATTATTATTACTTTTACTATTATTATTACTATTATATTATTATGACTATTACTATTACTATTATTATTATTACTATTACTATTATTATTATTACTATTACTATTATTATTTCTATTACTATTGTTATTCTATTATTATTACTATTACTATTACTATTACTTTTATTATTACTATTAGTATTAGTATTGCCATTACTATTAGTAGTAGTAGTAGTAGTAGTGTATTAATATTAGTCTTAGTATTACTATTACCATTACTATTACTGCCCGTAGCTAAAGCAGCAAGCGAAGAGAGGCGGACAGCGGTTTTTACTAGCACGCAAGAAGGTAAGATCCTTGACTGATTTTTAAGTTGTACACATCCACAACTGTACAATGCACTTATGCGGCATGTGATCTACTCTGCAGCACTGGAGGTATTAGAGGCTTAGGTGATTGATCCCCATTAAACCCTCGTAGACTTATAACCATTACCGGCTATGGCACGTGCTTGTAATGCGCTCACGTGCACAATCACTTGCACTGCCCTCCTACGCACATGCGCCCCCCCGCTCCTGTAAGGGCGCCTCCGGGGTTATTATTAGCAAAGTCCCTGCAGGACGATGCTTTTTGGTTACCCCATGGAACCTATCTTACCTAAAAAAGGGAACCCTATACACTTACACTAGGGGCATTAAAGTTGCCAAAGGAAGGATGCCGCCGGATGACTAGGCGTATGCACTGTCCTTTTGAAGTGCAAGGTCCCTCCAAATGAGGACCGAGGTGTTATGGGGAATAACGGCTCCAGGCATTAACTCTTTTAGATGATCCCCACAACCACATAGCCCCACTATTTTGGTAATCTTTGGAAGGTCGAATACAAATCATCAGACCTTTTTTACTAGACGCGCTCACGGCTCTGCCATTATCTGCAAGGGTATAACATGTGGCCCTTCAAACGAATGGCTACAAGCCTTTTGTGGATCCTGGACTAGCAAGGAACCAACAACTTGACGATCGACCTTGTAAGCCACTTAATGTGGCCTTTCTTAATTCGAGATCTGCTCTTCTTGGACTTGCAAGGGAATGGCACAAGAAAGATCACGAAGCTCCGATTGGTTGACAATTTCAATTCCATGTTGAAGCATCTTACTGCTGAACCCTGGCTGATGAAGCAACAGCTTCACCTCCGACGAGTATTGATCCGCGTGTGCTACAATGGTTTCATGGAGTTGTGAACTGGAAGAGCTTACAACATTTGAAAATAATGCCAACCCATGACTACTACGAGATATTGTAAGCATCGCAGCTGTTCGCTTACTTGCCGGCACTGTAGGATTATTTTCCTCGGCCTTTTGACAAATCTCGGAACTAGTAACTGGGACCGGATTACTGACCACATGGTTGTAATCAGCCTCAGGTGCTGCGTCTTGAGGACTGCGTGGGATCGTCTGCCTGTAACACCCTGGCTAACTGTGGCTGCAATGTTGATGTTAGCTGAACTAACTGATGCAACAAAGTTTGCGCATGTGGCACACTAGACTTGACCTCTGCAATCCTGCCGGTTGTGCCTCTGATGCAGGATCAACCTCTAGTTTAACCTTGATAGGCCCTTTCACATGCCTCGGCTTACTTGGGGGCATATTCAACTTTTCCACGACTGCACTACGACCTGAGCCCTCTGGGGTGAACGGGCTAAGTGGTTTTGCCTTTGGGATCTTGACCTTGGCATCATAATCGGCCGAGGGGTCACCACTTTGGCCTAAACGAAAAGTACAAAGCTTGGAATGCTAATGGACTTTTGGGGTCCACACTTTATCTTCAGATTTTCGCTACATACTTGTGATATGCTCAAAACAGTGGCCAGCGTGGGACGTCATCCAGACTTCGTTAAACCCTTTGCCAAAAACCAAAACCTCAACCTTTTTTATGTCGCCCAGAAACACATGAAATCGTAAGATAGCAAGATGCAGGAGGGTCAGCAATGGCAAATTATCTATTCTGAAGAATCCAATCGGTGCTCGAACAAAAAAATGATAGAGTGTTTGGGGGCACACATCTCCAGCACAAGCCGCCCCAAAAACCTCAACAGAGACAGCAATGAAATTACCAGTTTTCGAGAATATTCCAACGCTGCAAATTTGACCCCCCAAATCGTGATGTGTTCAAAAACACCAGCCAATGTGGGTGAAATTGCACACCAGGCAAAATCTTGGTGAAAGATGGAGACGCAAAAATTGCGACTCATTGAGGAAGAGCTCCGAACTCATGAAACATCGAGCTTTCCCAAGGAAAAAATGCCCGAAACCGGAGAAAACATTGACCATTTTCACGGCCAAACCTGGTGCGTAGGGTTGTCTACCATTTATGTTCTGGGTTTTATTGAAGGTTCTGGGTTTGCGATGTGTACCTTGCAGCGGTTGGCGTTGGTCAGGTGCATGGGGCCATCGCACGGTGTAGCAAGGATCCCTTCTCCAAGCACTTTATATTTTGCTTGTGCTACGTATTGTTCAGGTACGGTCTGCCTGCCAGGTGGTGGTTTGGTTATTGCAGCTATCATCGAACAGGTATTTATTGCTGCTGCGCACATTTTTTTCCTGTGATGGGGTGCTGTGGCACGGGCAGCCAAGTCACAGCTGGATTATTGGCCCACGTTCGAAATTAATTTTGTGGGAACGGATACAGACTTGCAGCGTTGGTTGCCAAACATGTGTTTGGGTGTCCACTTGGCCTGTTCGACAGTCATGCGCTCTTGAAGCGCCGGCCGCCAAAAAGTGGTTGCTGCTGCAAGTATGCAACCAGCTGCTTCACGAATGACATGAACTATGTTCATCAGTATCGCTACTACTGTTATGATGCTATGAATGTGATTATGACTGTGACCATGACTATGATCATGACTATGACGATGACTCTGACTATGACTTTGACTTTGACATGGTTATGGTTATAAGAAATGCTGCAATATTGTTACCCTGACGCACTTTAAATCTCCCAGGCTTACCTTGCTTTTATTCTGCATGTGACGTTGACTGTTTTCCGTTCCTATTACCATTGTATGTTACCATTGTATTACTTCTAAGGCGACGTGAATTTTGACAGCGATTGCAGCTGCTTTATTTACTGCTCGTTCTTTCAAATTTTCATGACAACCATGTAACGCGTTGTTAATTTTCCTGCTGTCGGCATTTTTGGTGTTATCATCATTTGCATCGTGCTAATCAGCACCCATCACAATCGTCATCCTTCTTGCTAATGCTTTTATTGCAACTGGTATTCTTTTTCCCAGTCATATTACAGCACCTTCAGTGGTTGTTGTTGTGATTGTTTGTCCAGGATTGTATTCCCTTTTGTATTTCTTATAGCTGCCAGTTTTGTTTTGCTATTGTTGTTTGTTGCTGGGCCCTCCTTGGGCCATTTTCGCAGGTTCCACAAAAAGTGCCCGTGACTCTCACCGCGATGGTTATTCGGAATACCTTATTCCCTAACGCCTACGACAAAAAGCTGCGGACGGCATTTGCGCACTGTGACACGCATCACAGGCACTGAAGAAGGTGGGGCGGAAGAGTGGTACGCAGAAGATCCGATGAAGGATGCCGCGTTTTGTTTTCATGGCAAGCTCGTAGATGCACAGTGCTAGATAGCCATGTTCCGTGTAGTTTTGCATGGCACGTTTTGTTCGAGGACCGACCGCGGCCAGCTGTCAAAGTCACCATGGCATGTTTTGCCGGAATGCAGTTGCAAGCCTGCAACGATGATTACACTTGTGTTGCGATCGGAGCAGTTTCTGACATTGCGTTGGATGGTTAATATGTCTGTCTAAGACTTGTTAGTGTTTGCGTTGGTCATCTATGTCAAATGTGTCAACGATGCTCTTTTACCGAATGCTCAACTGTTATCAGTTTTCATCCTTGTGCGCTTGATCTTGTCTGGCTTCAGTTTGTACATCCCATGGCAGGATACAAAGATGGACAACAACAAGAAGGTTGACAAAGCATTATCGTTGGGATTTTAGCTTCTCACTCCAACCATTGTCTTGTTGTTGCTGCTATTGTTGTTGGAACATGTCCAACCAAAGCTGGCCCTTTGCGAGCAAAAGGTGGCAATCGATTTGTTCAGAACTTCAGTCGTCAATCAGGTAGGCCAGCAGCAAGCATCTGCAAGTGGCAGTATTGGAAACAGCATTTTGATTAACTGTTTTCAGCATGTTGTCACAAGTTGGAATAGCATGCATTCTCTGACGTGCGTTTTTGGCTCCAACAGGACGTCATAGGCAGTTAACTGAAATTTAGGTCGGTCTGAGGTTGTCAGTCCTGCAGCCATCCAAATCCTGCAGAGACCTTCTGCAGCAATGGGTGGGAAAAAACACTTAGTTGCAGCATCCGCTGCCATCACCTTAAGTCGATTGATAGAGAGCGCGTGCGGGCGGTTTCCATGACGCACGCTGTGTCTAAGTGAGATCTAATTGTTGGAATTCTGGCTGCATCGCGGTAGGTCCATGGTTGCCGTCATGGACAGGGAACGGTTTCTGTTCAGTTGTGTTGCAGGAGCCGAAGTTTGCGGCCATGTATGGCTGCATCTGGAGCGAGCATCGGTAGCCTTCAGCAAAGGTGGATGTTTCAGCTCAAGGCCTTTCAGTCCGGGCTTCAACTTGGAGGCCCAATCAAGAAGTTCAAATTGCAAACAAGCTCGCCCCAGAGCCAACTCCTTGAACCGACCCTGAGTAGAAACTTAGCTGGCAAACACAGCATTGCGATGCAGCATTGTGCTCCTGCTGGGGCGTTCCCATACCTTTTTGCGAACGGGCTTGTCGTGCTGGCCACGAAGAGAAGAGTCATCGTGCTGCCGGGCATGGATCCTTCCAACATTTCGAAAGCCGATGACTCCCGTGGCAAAGCAGGAGAGCGGTGCCGCTGCATGTTCTTCAAAGTAGCAGGATTTCATGGCTCAGGTAGGTGCTGGTGCTGAGAGAAGAGTGACATAATGGCATGATGACGAATCGTTGGCTGCTCACATCTGCTGGCAGGAGCAGGAGCAACAACGGTAGCCCACCCCTTGGTTTTGGTGATGTTTTTTTGGCATGACCCTTGATTTGATTGGGGATGGCATGACGCCTTTGGCTGAGATCACCCACACATGTCAGCAGCGTGCGGGGGCAGCTCAAACGCTTCGAGGGTTGTTGAGATTTTCCCACAAGACCCCTCCCACTGTGTTCAACGTCGAGCCCGAAGACATCGACATATGTTTCTGTCAAGGGGTGTCATATGGTGTCATGCTTGACGGATCATGGAGCACGCGTCAATTTGCGGCGCCGTCTCCGCGGCACAACCTACCGTAGGAATGGATTTGGGACACTGGGTGGTGAAAGTTCAGAAAAGTACACATAGTTTTTTGCCTTCAGCATTTCTATTTGAGCCATGTCGTGGTTTCCACCACAAGCAGCGCCGGGCGCGAAGGCAAATAGTTCCTGCGCCTGGTCCATCCTCGCACTGCTGTTGCACGAGCCACAAACTTGCGGTCTTGAGTCTAGAATCCTAGATTCTCTAGATATCTCTGGATCATGTCAAGCTTTACTTCAAGAGTGCATGCCAGTGAAACAGGTGTTGATGCGAAATTTCCCGAAGAGCTGGGTAGCAGAAGGTGCACGTGAAGGATCACAAATGGCTGCATGCGGCTGCATTCATCAAATTGATACGTTAGTTGGAGCCGATAGCTTGTGCGGACACCGCGTGCACAAATTTGGTGCAATTTTTGCTGTTTATTTGCAGTGTTTGGTTCCGGAACTGGCAGGACTTCCAGCCAAAGTGCACAAGCTCCTGTCCCGCTTTGGAACACTTCAAGGGGAGCCTGAGATCTTCGATGGTGGTTTCGACGTGTCTGCCGTAACTGCCATTGCCTGCTTCGAGACACTTGAAGCCGCTCAGGCAGCGTGCTGAGTTTTTGAGGCGAGGTTGCCAGACACGCGTTTCACACAGGCCGCTGTGCAGACCCTGTGTGGCGCAGATATGCGCACTAACCCGGAGAAGAAGGCCGGCAACCAAACGGTATTTTAGCGCGCTAATTGAGTGAACGGACGGGACGAAAAAAGCCTTTTGGGCAAGATGATCAGGCCGCTGGCAACAAGCCGCCGCTGGACTCCGAGCGGTTCTGGGCACAGCTTAAGGCAGCCCCTGTGCCAGCACCTCAAGCAGCAGCAGCCGCAGCCCCAGCACAGGCAGGTTGGCTTTTCCAGACACTGCGAAAATGCACCTTTGACTTGCAACGTGAAGGCTCGCACTTCTCCGCCTGCAGCTGTCGCTGCGTCTCCCCCTCCAACCACCCAGACAGCACCAGACGTTACCCGCACCAAGCGGCGTCCTGTGCCTTGGGTGCGAACAGCTGTCAGCATCTCATCAGTAGGGATGCTCACGCAGCAGTTGCAGTCAGGCACCACCACCGCCTCATGGAGATGCGGAGGAGCCAGCCGATTCTGTAGGTACAAGTTTGCCAGGCTGCGCTTTTCTAGCTGCTCGGAATCAGGAGTCCTACATTCTTGTGCGCGGCTTTCCCGCAAGCTGGAAAGAGCCGCAGGCTGGTTGCCCACAAGAAAGGCACGTAGCTTCCGGCCCTTGCTCTTAATTTTCTGGGAGGTCAAGTACCTCTTTGTGGTTTTTGGTGGGACTTCTTCTGTCATATTCGTCCCCGATCCGGACTTTGGACGAGCAGCACACGTGATGTTGAAGGATGCGGCAGCGCTTGAAAGGGCTGCTACCTCCCTCAATGAGACCGACGTCGGAATCTTGTATTGGCAAGTCAGAGTGGCTATGCTTCAGCCAAACTTGGAGTTGTTGAGATTTATTAATTGATCTCAAAATTGGCTGCAGGTGCATGATTCATACCTAGGAACGTTTCCAGGGGAGTAAGGACTCCTCTTGTTTGCTTGTTGCTTTCCTACTGTGCTGCAGTACCTGCATCCAAGGAGATGGCAGCAGGCTTAGCAGAAATCGTTCGCACACATACTTGTGGTCGTTTCTGAAGGGAACCGCAGGCTTCAAAGAGCTTGCCTCGCATGTCAGTGTGCCAAGGTGACATGATAGAAGAGTGTCACATCCTTTGCTCGTATCTGGCCTTCAAAGAGCATGGACCTTTCTATGGTAACTTGCGTCCGAACACTGACTTCTTCCACTGAGGCATGTCCTCGGCAGGCAAGAACAGCAGCGCCTCGGTGAACAGGCTGGCCTTGATCCCTGCGTGTGGCTGGCCTCAGTGGTAGTCGTTATTCAATTTTTCGATCAAGGAGCAGCGACAGCGAAAAGCAGAGGCCAAAGCAGCAGAAAAAGAGAAGAGGCGGGAGGAGAAGGAACGTCGACGCCGTGAGAAGGAGGCAACGGAATGTTGCCAGAGTCTGGGACTTCAAGTTGAAAAATGCTTTTTTGACTTGAACCCTTCCAGGAGAAGAAGCGCAGGCAGGCGGCCGAGCGGGAGAGGATACACGAGGAGGAGGAGAGACGAAGACAGGAAGCAGCCGAGGCAGAGCGCCAGAGGCGAGAGGCTGAGGAGGCCGAGGAGGAGGCACGGCTAAAGAAGCAGGTCGAGGAGGAGGAGGAGCAGCTTAGGAGAGAGGCAGAGGAGGAAGAAGAGCGCTTGCGTCAGGAGGCTGAGGAAGAGGAGGAGCGTCTCCGCAAGGAGCGTGAGGAGATGGAGGAGCTTCAGCGTCAGGAGGAGGAGGAGCTCCAGCGGCTGAGGCTGGAAGCCGAGGACCGTCGTCCATTCTGGAGAGGGGCAAGCTTTTGCCTTTTTCATTTGATGACCTGGTGCCTGGTTGCTATGAGGAAGTGCAGCGCCGACGGCGAGCTGCGGAGGAGGCACATTGGAGTGTAAAGACAACACACAATGCAGAGGTTCCTGCGTATTGTGCATGTGCTGGCTTGACCTGCAGTGCTAGGCGGAGCAGCGTATGCGGCAGGAGGAAGAGCAAAGACGAAGAGAGGCCGGACTTCTGTTTTGCAATAAAGCAGGGTGAATGTGTCAATGACTGTGACGGAGTCACACTCCTGCAGGCTATCATTCCTGATTCCTGCTTGATCCGTCAAATCAAGTCACAGGTGGAGGAGGAGGAGGAGAGGCTTCGAAGAGAAGCTGAAGAAGAGGAAGAACGTCTGAGATACGAGGCTGAAGAAGAGGAAAGGTTGAGAAGGGAGGCTGAGGAAGAAGAGGAGCGCCTGCGACAGGAAGCTTTTGAAGAAGAGGAGCGGATTTTTAGTTTCCGGTGCAATGCAACGAGGGCAGATACACTCTTGGTGTTCAGTCTCTTGGAGCTTGGTGGAAGCTTGCAAGGAGCGCCGTGCTGCAGCTGAGGAGGCAGCAAGGCTCCAGCAGCAAGCCGAAGCCGAAGAGGTTCGCGGGATGCATAACGTGAAATCTGGAAAGGCTGTCTGACTCTGTTGGTGCAAGGTGGTGATCTTGATATAGTCTGTTTTTGACAGCAGAGCTAGTACTTAGCTGGCTGGAAGGGCAGGAGAATTAGCAGCTGAAACGGTTGCGGATGTCACATCTGCAGAACATCGGCGCAGAGACAAGTTTGGGGAGTCGAAAGCAATGGCTGCCAGGAGCGTCGCAGGCTACTGGCTGAGGAGTTCCAACGCCAGCAGACGTCACTTTGGCCTAAGTTCATTCTCAGCTTGATTTGTTTCTTGTTTGGTTGAGGTCGAGGGAGCTAGGGCAGCTAGGGCAGCCAGAGCGGGGCACGCAAGTGATTTGGAAAGAGCACCTGGCCAAGGCAGCTCCAGGAAGCTCGGGACGAGGAGCGCGTTTGCTTGGGCTGTGTGTCAATGCATTGCACATGCGAAGCCTGACCGTAGAAGGTCCCCAAGTTTGGACGTCAAGCTTGGAGAGAGAGGTTGAGCTTAGCTTCTGCTCGGCGTGCTGAGATCAGGATGGCGAGGACTCCTTGCCGATGAGGCAGCGTGAGCGACGCAACCTTCGCTCCAGAAGCCGCGATAGCTGCTAGGCCTGCAATAAGAGAATCAAGTACAGGTGGCAATAAAACAACTGGGGATACATAGTCAATCTGAGACAGACTCAACTTCACGGACTGGTCTGCGCCCGTCTCACTTGCTCCACTTGGCGCACTTGCCGGGTCAAGAGGGGCAAGGGGGCAAGTGGGGCAAGGGGGCAAGTGGGGCGAGTGGGTCAAGTGGGGCGAGTGGGTCAAGTGGGGCGAGTGGGTCAAGTGGGGCAAGTGAGGCAAGTGGGGCAAGTGGGGCAGTGGGCAAGCGTGAGTGGTTCAAGGGGGTCAAGCGGGGCAACTAGTGTTACAAGCAGGGCAAGTGGGACAAGTGGCAGGAGGGGCAGGTAGTTCTCGAAAGACGAGAATCGGAAGAAAGATGCAAATGTTGGCATCCAGGTCGAGTCTCGAAGCGGAAGAAGCCCAGGCGGAGCTCCAGAAGCCGCCAACGGCGCAAGGCGGGGCCGGGGCCTTTGGTACAGTCTCTGAGGTAAGTAGCCGTCAGCGCACCCCATCCAAATCAGCACATGACTGCCTTTGCACTCCTTCCGTGACTTGCAGTTTCTGTTTCAGAGCGCAGACAGACCACAGCGTTGACAGTCAGGATTCTGAAAGGCTGCTTCAGTAACTTGTAGATGGCCCTTCAAATGCTTCGACCTACGTAGTCAATCCTGTTTCTTGGCTAGGGTCCAGCTTGATTTGTACTTCCACATCTTGGACGCATCGAAACAAGGCTTGTGCGCTTCCTAGACTCAATAGCTACGCCAAGGGCACTTTGGTAGGGCAACCTGAACAACAGTCGGTTTTGATGAGGTTCTATGTTCTTCAGATGTGTAGCCTCATCTTCATCAGCTTCGTTATGGTAATCTAACCACCTACTAAGTCATTCAGCTTCGATGCTTGAGACAAACGTAGGCAGTCAGCCTCGACTACAGAATCATCCATCGTGCTGAGAATGCTTTGGCGGCAGGAACGCAAGAAGAAGCGTCACAAGTCAGCTTCTTCAAGGTCCAGGAGCAGTCACTTGCAGCAAGATTACGCAAGCGCTGCTGGAGGAGCTGATTGCTTTTCATTTGACTGCCTTCGCACATGTTGCGTTCAATTGCTGGGGGCAAGACATTAGCTTCTAAGTTGCTGAGGCAACAACCATGCCCGGCCTCGTCATAGCTCTGGCCGAGGCCAACTGCTGCAGAGTTCTGCTAGGTGTCTTTGGCAACTCTTGGTCAGGAGAGAAGGCAAGCTCAGAATCCCGGAAGAACGTCGAGGTCGTGAACAGCTGCGCCAGCTGCAACAGCCAAGCTTGTGATGCTATTGTAGCCCGTTGCCAGGAGAAGCACCTTAACATGGAGGTTCACAGCAACGGGTCAACTCCAGTTCATCCGGACGCTGATCCATCAACCAATTTCGCAGTGCCTCCCTTGGGAGCTTATCCCCAGCCAGCGTGGCCACAAGTGCCTTTGGATCCGGGACTAGGCAGGCGCTGGATGCTTGTCCTTTTGTTTCTGTGCTTCTCTGGGTATTTGTCCCGATGCAGGCATAGAAGCGGCTGCATTTGCACAGCCGGCAGTTCCTGCAGCTCCGGAGCGCCCAGCGTATCCTGCACCATCTGCACCATGTCCGGACACACCCCCAGTACCACCAGTACCACCAGTCGAAAATCATCGTTTTGGTGCTGCAGAAGGCCGTAATGTGCCAACTCCTGGTGTGGAGCATTCAAGCCAAGAGAACAAGACACCCGATCCTCCAGCCCCAGTGCCAGCGGCGACGGCCACACCTCAGGTGAAAGCGCCATCCAGAGGCGAATGTGTGCGTTTTTTGTACATTGATTCCTGTAAGTACATTATTGAGATTTGCGGAATGTGGCTGCAGCTGGCCTGAAAGTGTGTGTCAGGTGCCTTCACAATGGCCTGGGGTGCTGCGCCTGTGCGAAAAGCTAGCCCTGCTGTTCCTGCACCAGTAAACTTGTACCAGCAGCAGCTTGGATCTGCAAGCAGCTACCATCCGCAACGCGAGTCAGTCATAGCAAAATTTGTTGCTAAGGCAGTTTGCGCAGTGGCAGCAACAGCAACAGCAGGTGCAGGCAGTGCAGCCTTCTTTGAGCCAAGTTCTGGTGTGCAACCAGCCTGATAGCCGTTCGTTCTACAAAAGTGTCCAGCCAGGAGCAACATCAGAGGGACCTGGAAAGGCAAAAGCGAGAAGAGGAAGAATTGAAGCAGGAACTGCAACAGCAGCTGCTTCAACAGCCGCCATGCTGCAAGTCAGTCACATGTCGGGACAGCGTCCCTAGCCGTCCCACATCTCCACATGCACAGGCAAGCCAAAGCAGAGGAGGCTGCCCGCGAGGCCGAGCGCCGCGCGGCCGAGGCCGAGGCCGAGCGCTTGGCCGCTGAGGCCAGGGCCGAGGAAGAACGCCTCCAGGCAGAGAAGGCGGAGAGGGAGCGCCAGGAGCGCCAGGAGCCCCGCACCTTGCACTTACTTGAGACCTGGCACTTTGCATCCAATGTAGATGCCAGGAGGCTGAGGAGAGAGCGAAGTCATCCCCGCTGCATTCTTGCCAGCTTGAGTTCTGCAGGGTGCATTTTACAATTTTATTTTGCCAGCAGATGGGGCCTGCCAGGGATGCCGAGAGGCAGCGCATACTACAAATGTGGCAGCAGGACAGTTGCTGAATGCAAGCAAATGACTCTTTATGCGCTCTGGGAGGGGATCTTGGGTTATTTGACCTAAGCGCGCTTACTATGAACAAGTAGCATCATGCCTGGTGGCTACTAGAACCTATCCCTTCCGTGGTGTTCAGTACCATTGCATGGACATGCCATAAAACCCCCCCCTACTCCTTCTACATACAGTGTTAGCTACCCCTGCATGGTCATGGTGCGAACAACAATCCTAGCACGATGCAAATACGTTACATAACGCATCATGCCTCCCTTCTTCCACAATACTTTTGCGTGGTCGTGGTAGGAGTATCATCGTCCTGGGGTCTTGCATTAAGCCTCCCTACTCCTTCTCTACGCCTGCGTGGTCATAGTGCAACTGGTATCATGCTGAGGCATTGCATCGAAATGCATCAAACCTCCCCCCTCCTTGTGCAGTCTTCACTGCTCCTGTGCGTTGATGGTACAAGTAATTGAAGTGTTAACCAGACTGGATCCCCTCGTATGTGCTAGCCGCTTTTGCAAAGTCATGATACGAATGACATCATGCTAATGCTTGCGCCGCACCTCCCTACTACCGCTGCGTTGTTCACAACCCTTGGGTGGTCAAGGTAGGTGTGACCTTATGTGGGTTGCTGCATCAAATCTCGCCACTCCTACGAGTAACATTATGCTGGGTAATTGTATTAAGCCTCCCTACCCCTTGTGTAGTGTTACATTAACTATCAGCGTATGGTCGTGGTACGGAAAAAGTGATGTGTGTCGGCATCAAACCTTCCTGCTACTTCTTGAGTCTTCACTTACCATGTTGCATCAAACCTTCCTACTCCTTCTGTATTTTTTCTGCCCTATCACCATGCAAAATAGTCCCAACCACATTTTGCATGGTGCTGGCGTCAAACCTCCGTACTGTCCGCAGTGTTCCCTATCCTGCAAAGGTCATGATAAGAAAAAATCCTGCAGGTGGTTGCATCAAACCTCCCTACTCCTTTTCTTGCGTTCACTGCCCGTGTGCAGTGATGATGGTCATGGTTGCCTCACCTCTCTACTCTTCTTTGCTGTTTTTCTGTGATTGCTCGACTCCTCGTTGCTCCTCTCGTGCCCAAGTGCTCAAGCAGAGAGTACAAGCAGCAGTGCTCAGAGCTCGCAAGGAAGCCACGGGCCAGGATGAGCAGTTGCGAACGCAGCAGCTGCTGGGCAGAGATGCATGAGCATACAAGTGTGCCTTTGCAAACTGCAGTCTTCACCAGCCTAGGTCCATGGGAAGCCAGCTGCCAGCACACTTCTGGGGCCTCCCCGCGCAGAGTACACCGACACTGCCTTCGTTTCCACAAGGTCACCTTCAGCAGTTCATGGACCAGCAAGCAGCGACGATGACGTCTCCACAGCAGCTCAACGCACACCAGCCGTTTGCGCCACACCTGGTCCCCCCGTACGGCACTTAGCTGCTGAGCATGACTTTCATAGCTACAAGTGCTGATAGAGGAAACGCGACAAAACAAACGCAAAAAGCAGTGAAGTGATCAGCGTGACCCTTTCTTTCAAGGCACTGGCAGCAGCAGCAGCAGCAGCAGCAGAACCTGGCTGCAACACCTGGACAACATCCAGCAGGCGCGGGTGTTGCTTTCATATCTTTCATTTGCCATGCCTGCAAGATGAACATCCAAGGTAGCTCTTCAACGCAGCGCCAGCCTGCTGAGGAGCAGGTCAGGTCTATGGAGGGCAGACGCAGCACTTAGCGGATTGTTGCCAGATGGTGTCAAGGGATGTCCACGATTGCGCTTGTTTTGGGCTTGTATGTGGGGCTTGTTGAGAGAGAGACCTCCAGCGTGATCTCGGCATTGCTAGCTGCGAGCTGTTTCTTATTAGTTCGTGTTCAGAGTCATGAGTGCGTCGTCCCTGCCGAACTCGAAGGATCGTGACGACCTGACAGAGGCCTCAGAACCGGGCGCCTCACCGCAGGCTGCAAGGGAGGGACGGGCAAGTGATCTAGGGTTGTGCTTTGCCCAGGTGCTTGCGCTTGTTATGGTTTGCAGCTCTTTCTTTCGTTAGATGCAGACACACTGTTGCCTTCTTGTGCCTACCACCCTCATATTTCACCCAAGCAAATCCAAGCCTTTTTGGTATCACTAAGTCTGCATATAGTATCCGTGCTGGCCGACTGGAGCGGGAACAATCAGAATCCTGAGATCTGGGCAGGTTCCAGACAATGATGACGCCGATACCGAGGACCGCCAGCCTGTCTGCAATGGGGACATTGAAGCTGGGACTTCCCTGCGCGGCAGGCGCCAACGGAGGAGTCTGACTACGATCCTTTCACCAGTGCGGCGAACGCAGCGCAGGCTATTGGTCGCAAGAGAGTTATACAGAATGCCGGGATATTCCTTAGCTCGGTTAGCCTTCCATGCGCTGCCAATCATTGCCAACGGCAGGCGTCCCATCCGCCAGCACGCGAGAAGGCCCAACCCCACTTGCCTGTAAGCGGGAGACTGAAGTCACTGCATGCAAGTGCAGGAGTACAACCCCTTCGAACAAGCCGAGAGGGATGCTGCAGCCGCAGAGGACAAGCATATTCACTTGAGGGTTTGGGGAGTACTCTGTCCCATACCTTGACTAGGAGGACGAGGATGATGAGGGAACTTTCGAATCCCTCATTGAAACTTGGATGGAGTACTGGTTGTCAGCATCCACCGATCATTTTTTGAAGACTTGACCTCCTCCTTCGTTTGGGCTTCTTGCCAAAGGAACTTCTCCGCGCAGCAGAAACTGGGGGCAACTCCGCCTCATCCAGGCCCAAAGGTTCCCTATGAGTGGTGAGCTTGCTTTCAGCATTTGCAGGTCCGCTGACCCTACGCCCACGCCGCAGGCGGCACGGGAGGCACGGCCGATGGACACAGGCAGCTGGTTTCTTCTCAATTTGTGAAATGCTACGTTTCTTTACCATGGGCTATGCCAGGCGAAGAGCACTTTGCAAAGGCCAAAGCAAAGCCCAAGACGGAGTACCATTTCAACCAGGCAACTCAGCGGTGGGAGCCGAAGGCCTCGCCATGCAGTACCATGCAGCACCATGCACTCCTCCTTGCTTTCTGTTGTTGAGAGACCACGGGAGGCGGCGCCGCCATCTCCTCCGAAGCCGGAACCATTCCGCCCTGGTGCCTTGGCATTAGCGTATTCGTTAAGCTGTCTCAAGGTTCACTGACTTGTGCTTCTAAAAGGCACCTGCTGCCGCCAGTGTGCAACCAACCCAAGGTCCAGCAATGCCGCGGCACAGGCCACAGTACCAACAGCTGACTGGAAGCACTAGCGGGATTGGTGATCACGTACCGCAAGATGGAGAGACATTTCTCGGGCTCCAGGGGAGGCACACGACATAAGTTCCATTTTTTCTGCTTGTCGAGTGTCAAGGCCGTCTTGTATTGGGGCGTGCAGAAGCTGGCCACAGTTGGCAATTGCCAGAATCTTGAAATAAAACCTAGCTCTTGGCTATGCGTAGGCGAGTTTTGTATTCGCTGTCCACCGGCTCGCAAGTCAGCCACAGCCGCAAATTGTCGTTTTGCGCATAGGTGATGAGGTCCGATCTTTTTGGATCGGTGCCACAGAAGGTTCATGTGCTGTCTGTGGGATGCTGTCGCAGTAGGTCTTGGTCTTGGGATTTGGCTGCGTAATGTCATCATGTGATTCTGATGTATTGGTTCCTTGTAAAATAGAGGTCAGAGGTGGACCCTAATTTTCCATGAGGCCTACACAGGCCATCATACGATGCAAAATGCTCATGTAGGCTAGTCATGCTACGCTATCATCTTCTATCATCTTCTATCAGTTTCATAATTCTTCAGAATGTTTTATGATTGTTCATGATTTCTGATGATTTTTCCATCAGTCTTCGCAGTTTTTGCTTCAGAATCGCTCTCTCGTGTGAGGCGTCCTTCGATTCCAGGCCTCCAGCCAAAAAAAGGTTGCCAAAACGACCCAAAAAGAACAAACACAAATAAGAAAATAAACATTTCATCCGCTTCCAACGGCCAAGCTTGTGCTACATTGACGCTGGTGGTTGATGTTGCCGATTCGTTGGTGACATGTGCTTGCACAAAGAGATGAAAATATAGCGTCTAGAGTGCCACATGCAAGTGATTTGTTTGACAAATCCAGAATTCGTATGAAGATTGTACTGGAGGGCCACAGGAGCTATAAGAGCCATCATAAGTTTGACAGTTGACCATGTTTGGGAGTGGAACGCTTCTTAGGCAAGTGGTGCCACCACGGCCGATGACGCCGCAAGTACAGGCACCACCGCGCAGGCGGGAAGTGGCAGCAACAACTCTTTAATGGCGACACTTGTTATCATCTTAGGAGGTTGTTGTTGTGACCCTTATGGCTTGTATCAGCAACGCTTTTTCTGTAGGGGACGTATTGGGAGCAAGGAGGGAAGATACACATGTCCTTATGGTAATACAGGTTTGGGGGAGTTCGCGCTTCCGGAGATCCCCCCTGACCGCTATGTTTGAATGCAAACAGAGTGCCAGAAATTCTTATCAGCAGGTAGCAGGAAACCGTCTGTTCTCATGGAGAGCTTTTCGGTGGCAGTTTTGCTGACAAATTTCGCATGAACCCGCCTCAGGTCTTGGGGGTAGTTTTTTGGTGGTCATGGCGGCAGTGGCGGCGTAGTGCTACAAATTCGCCAGAACTGTCATCATATATAGAGCATCGTTTGATCTGTCGGCCTCAACTTCTTTGAGAGCGAAGCTGCCCAGCATGGCAATTTGTGTCGTTGTCTTGCTGTCTAGCTTTCAGCACTGCCTCGAAAGCCTCGATCCAGAGCTTGCAGAGCTTGTAGTCTTGCAAGCGTCTGTACAACTCCCAGAAGACCAAGCCCATGAATCACTGCGATAAGCAGCTCGGAACACAAAAAAGAGCGCCGTAGCACACGCTGCAGGTTGGTGATCGCTGAGTGCGAGGCGGAAGCGCGTGTGGACGCTGCGAGCGGCAGTTGCAGTCTGGCGCAGGTGCGAACTTACCATTAGGGCTTATCTGCAAATGGCTTCGCATCTGTTTCTTTAAGGTCCTTTTTCCATACGAGGTTCGAAGTAGCATACGTTAGTGTTCTCAAGACTGCCTCAGGCCCTTGCTGTGCGCTTGGCCCTGCGCTTCGAGTCCAGACCAAAGGATATACTGGTCAGTTCTTGGGCGGCAGAAGCAGTGTCCCAGTCCAGTGCAGATGTTGCGCCGTACGCATGAAGTACACAGCTACACGGTGAGACAGCATCTCATGGCACTTCTGGCGTAGCGAGAGTCTGAAGAAATATGTAACGAAGCCCATGAACAGAAAAAACAATCCTGAGCTTGTTAAAAAAAATGTGGGGCTCCTCCCCTCCCTATAGTAGTAATTAGTAATGACTGACCCAAAGGAACAGGCTCCAAAAGCAGTACAGTTAAGCAGTGGTTGTAAGAGCTAGAGTGGGAGCCATAGTGTGAGTTGGAGGATTGGGAAAAAAGAAGCGGACGGGTTTCAATTCGAGATTGTTAGTTTTGTATAAGCTTTTCAATTATCGTTAATGGATTCTCAACTTGGAATAGAATTTGCATAGGCTTTAACTAGATTATGCTCCTTTTGATGAGGCTCTGCTCATTTTGATCAGATGTTAATTGGATTGCCTATGGTTTTTATTCGGTTTTGATTGGTTTTACTTTGGTCGTGAATATGTTTTTGTTTTACATAGATTTTAATTGGTTTTTCATTTGATTTGAGCTAGATTTCAGTTCTAATTCATTTTTCATTAGATGACAACTGATTTTAGAGAGAGGCTCATGTTAGTTTCAATGGTTTACGTTCGTTTTTAGTGACACTTGCAGAGGTTTTGATTCTAAATAAATGTTGAATTCAAGACGGTTCCGGAGCTAATCGCCTTGATGAAGGCTGTTCTTCTTGACAGGTTTTCAGTACATGCAAAGAAAGACACTGTCACGCAAGATCCGTGGGGGGTAGCTCAGGAAATCTCAGGAAGCAATGTTGGAGCCTTGAAATCCTACCGAATGTCAATAAGCAAATCGTGTCTCAGAATCCGCTTTCATACGCTCATTTTACAAGCAGGCGCATGATTATTGTGTAAAATCAGGGCTGCTGATCATGCAAAAGCTTTTGTTATTTCGGATTTGAGTTTCAAAGATTCAAGTTTTCAGGTTCTTGACTAGCTCAGGATTTCAGGCTAGAACACTCAAACCTCACTATTTGCACGCTCACTATTTGTACATGGTCTGATTTTTCGGTTTGAAGTGTCTTTTTGGTTCCAAGATGCCTCTAATCCCTAATCTGGTCATTTTTTGATTTTTAAATCTAGGTGGTATCGGTCTTGCTGAGCTCGGATTAGCTAATCCTCCGTCGACCAACAAAAGCATCCAACAGCCTTTGCAGCAAGCCACAAATTTCAATCCAAAGGTTCAATGCAAGCCTAGACTTCGCTTAAAGTCTGCTAGGCTTACTGTTGGGAGCGTGAATCTGATTCTGTAGTGTTTCTTTGTGACTTGCACGGACACTTCAAGATTTACCTGTTAAGGGATCTGGCACCATCGTTTTACGGAGCTAGTAGCTCGTAGTAGCTAGATGGTACTGAAGAGAAGAGCTTGGCTTCTCGAGTAAGTTGAAGACTCAGATCCGACTGCCAAGGCATGAGCGAAGCCGGCCTACCTGCGGCTAAAGACCAGCGCTCCACGGTAAAGACCATTATGCGGCTTTGCCACCCCGACAAGTGTCCCTTGATGGAAGTGTGGCAACATCTCTAATGTAAGGTGATTTTGGGGCTCCAAGCTTTAGGCATCCAACCGGTCTAGGGTCAAGACAGAGCCGCTGTCAGCGAGGAAAGGCCTAATTACACTGAGCAGTTTTCGTGAATCCTTTGGGAACTTCGTGTTGTACTGCCGAGCCACAGGCAGACAGATACTTGAGGTCTAAAAGCTAGTCAAAGATTGACGTGAGAAGCAGGTACAATATGGGGGACTAGGGTAGACAAAAAGTACTGCACTTTTATGCTTGTCAACGGCTCATGATCCCGGACAGCCTGCCAAGGTAAGCATCCGGAGGCCAAGCGAGCTATGCAGATCTTGGGCCCTCTGCTGTCCTGAGAGGACCAGCCTTTGCTCATCGTTGAACACAAAAAAGGTGTAGTGGCATTTTGACTGCCAGCTTTCCGGCCATGTTGTGAGGTCAATACACGTGCTGCGGGCTACAGCGCGTAGTTGTTGTTGCTGAAAGTCTGGGAGCGTTTTCATTCTGCAGTGCTGAGGTGCCCAAGTGGCAAGCAAGTCCTCTCGAACTGGAGTGCTTACTATCTTGACAGCTGAAACTCGACAATGTCAGGGTCTGGGCCCTGGTGCTTGTTTTAGCTGACCCACTCAGCCTTTTCTGTGGCAGCCATAAACATGCACATGCCAGGAATTTCATGTCACAGCTGCTGCTTGACATGCGTGACTCTGTGCGACTGTTAGGTTTTCGTCCAGTGATCGCCAGAATTCTTGGAACGAATTTCGGCTTAAGGTGGGTTGAAAACACTCAACTCCCAGATCCATACCCTCTCCCGAATGATAGAAAACCATTTTCACGAGAGGCTGCGCCTGAGAGTACCGGTGAAGAAAGAGAGCCATAGAGAGGGAGTGCAGAAGAAGAGAAAGGACAAATTCAGATCAGGAGGACGAAGAAGAAGATAAGGAAGAGGAACAAGTAAATATACTGAGACCTTTCCTCAAAGCCATGATGCGGCTATCGTGCTTCCTGGTGGTTTCTGGAAGTTGTGCTGTGGCCACATCCCCACAGAGCATTTGTCCCACATCGCCAAGGACGAAATCTGCTTCTAGCATCTATGCATTTGCATTACTTTGAAATGCATCCACTGCTTTTTGTTGGCGATTAAGGGTCCTTTCAGGACCCAGCAAGCTCTTCACGAGGAAGTCAATGAGCAGCAGAGCATCCAGCTTCTCCAGCGCTCTCAAGAAAGGCAGCGCGCCCGTGACAGCAGTGGTTTCTTCAACGTGTCAGCCATTTTGGCAGACAACCCTCCAGGCCCGCCTTCCTCACATGTCTCAGAGAGAGCAAGCAACCTTTGTCTAGTTTTGGCGCTGGCCAAGTTCAACTTAGCCCGTGCTCGGTCCAGGCACTTTTCTTTCGCGCATGGCTGTCCTCGTGCAGGCTGTTGGCCTGACGTGGCTTGCCTTGAAATTGGGGTGAGGGATGCAGCATCTTTGTTTATTTATTTGTTGTTTGTTTCTGGCTTTGTGAAAGCCGGTTCCTTGCCTTCGCGGCTTCTTGGCTTCGCGGCTTTGTGCCTATTGGCTTCTGGCTCTAAACTCAGCTGTTGCTTGGAGCATCGTTTATTCGCGAAATCCCCACCCAAGGAAGGAAGGAAGGAAGGAAGGAAGGAAGGAAGTAGGAAGAAAGCGAGGAAGGGAGTACGGAAACAAGGAAGGAAGGAAGGAAGGTCGTCATTTCTCATCATCATTGTTCTCCAGACTTCATAGATTCCTTGTCATCATGTTTCAAACGGCTTACAGCGTTCTCCATCACATGTCATGACTCCTGTTTTCGATACATTTCATCATTTTTTCCATCTTTTCGTTCTTTTCATCACACGCTGTCATGCTCATTTGCTACGACGTTTCATCAGTTTTCATGATGTTTGCTACCATCTTCTTCTTTGATGGTTCGTCATATTTCATGTTGTTCCACTATGTTTCATCACATGTCATGTTTTTCCGCAATTCTTCATCATTGTTCCTCATATTCCTCATCTTTCATCATGTCTTACAATTCTTCTTTCATCACTTCTCATTCTCAGCAAGTTCTATCATTTTCACCATATGTCATGGTTGGCATCATTTTTTATCGCTTTCTTCAACGCCATTTTTCTGTAGTGTGATTTGTCATTGCGTTCAAAGATTGTGATGGTTTTCAATTCTGTCCTACTTTCTCATTTCCATCACGTATCGGCAGTTGTCATCGAGCTGCGATGGGTACAGGGGCAACGTGCAGAGGTTGAAAAACGTTGTTCGTTCTGCTCTCGTTCTTATTCGTAGCGCTGCTTGTCGTTGCCAGATCGAGAATGTTGGAAGGAAGCACGTCTTCCAAATTGGGGGTGGGTGGGTGGCTGTGCCTTCGCAACATCGCAGCTGTTGCTTTGCAAAGCACATGTGCGAAAGCTCTTGTCATCATACTTCATGATTTGCACAATTGGTCATCATTTGTGTCATCGCTTTCAAGAATTTCATCATGTTTCATAATGTTCCATTGTTTTTTGGACATCTCATCATTCCTCAGTACTTGCATCATGTCTCTTCATTTTCAGCATTTTAGGCAGCTTGATCATCATATCCATCATGTACTGCCGTGGTCCAAAGTAAGACTTTCATAGGGGGCTTACTCACCGTGGCAAGTGCTGGCCTACAGCGACGGGTAGAGGGATACCCTGACAAGGGCTGAAGGCCATCGCGAAAAAGGAATGTCATCCCACACTCCGATCTTTGCAGTCTGGGTCCACGCAACCCTGCCATCCAGGTGAACGAAAACTCTGTGCCACACTAGGTGCCCAACCCTCGATCTCTTCAGCTTTGGAGCCAGCGAGGTATCGCAAACTCACAGAGAACAGAGTCTGAAGATTCAGCCGACAATGACCCTGACTGTCAAAATCAAGCGCGCACAGGGCAGAGCAAAGCAGATGTAAAGTTGCATGTGTGCAGCAAGGCTCAACTAGCTACGCGACAGCGGTTTGAAGGCAATACAGCGCAATCTTTTCTTGTCCAGGATCTCACGCTCAATTGCAGGCTCTGGCAATGTGTCAACGGGCAGAACCATAACTGTTTTCTTTGTGCGAGGGTCAAGCATTCGCTGAGGTCAATCTGGGTCTGAGGTTCGTGCACACACTGGTTTCACAGAGCACCCGGCCACAACGGACAAAGCAGCTAATTCACTTGCTCCATGTGCACGTTGGGTCCTGAGCCAGACAGTAGCAGCAATGAGCTCGTGCGCAGGTGTTGAATCTGTAAAACCAACAGTAATTGAATAATCGCGACGGTGCATGAGAGAAGCACATGCGCCACGTCAAGATGACATACGGTCAGCCAATACTCAGCGGCTCCTCATGTTGGAAAAATTGGGCGAGCAATTCCAAAATGAGGAGCCCAACCGTGGCTCCACATTTTGCACAGTTCACAGCGTGAAACCGCAGGGGTGTGGATCCCCTGCGGATTACTCAGCTTGCCTCGGGTGGAGTCCAAATTGAAGGGGAGAGGCAAGCCACGCCCGAAATGATGCGAACAACGCACCGCGCACCCAAGCGCCCCCCGGAAGCCCCAAGAAGTAAGACGCCCCCAAGAGGTATGATTAACGTGGCTTGAGCATTCAGCAACAAACTTGAACTCCTCAAGTGTCTTCTTTCTTTGCCTTTCCGTTGCCCCTTAGCATCTTTGAGGCCCGAAATCTCCCAAAAAACGATCTGTGCGCTCCACAGTACAAGATCCTAGTCGGGTTGTGGCAGACGTCCGTGTTGTGGTACGCGGGACCTCTGTCGTGGTACGGAAATATGTTTTTGACATACTTTTCTTGTCGTGGTTGCCACCCTCCCCTGCGCAAAATTTTCATCATATCATTATCTTCATGTTCATGATATGCCATAATTTTCCTTGTTTGCACCAGTTTGCCTGAGATTTCACATTTGTTGTCACTTGCCCCAGGTGCAAAGCCTTTGTCCTGATTCTTGCGTCTCATGCTAAAATCTTTTGTAAACTCATTTCCATGAATGCAATGGTGCGGCAATGTTTTCATTGCATTTTTATAGTCTGCCTCTGGCCGACAGGCGTCTGGAACAGGCTGACCAGGATGCAGCCTTCTCCCCCTACTTCTCCCACACCCCAGAGTTTCGCTGCTCATCCCCCCCCCCCTACCCTTTGGGCCCCTCAAAAACTCCTACTCCGCAATGACCTTCGTTTTCTGGATGCGAGGATTCTGGCGCGCGAGGGTAAGCGGCTGTCCCGTGCACCACCCCCAGCTAAAGCCCTCCCGCCCCAATGCCAGATTCTTCACACAAATACTTGCTTTTGCAGCGTCTCGGCCTGCTTGCCAGTCCAGCTGCCAAGGCGGACGTGACAATTATAAGTGTCATCATTGTCATATTATGATTTTCTCTTATCATTGTTATTATTCTTCTGACATTTACATCGCTTTCACGATGTCGTTATCAGTTTAAGATCATCCCCCTGCCAACATGCCCGGTACTTACATTGGATCATCTTTAAAGTTGTGTGTACAAATCGGAATTCTTAACAAATATTACGACCACCGCACATAGGAGCCCCCCACCCCCCCCGCCCCAGTCATTTTTTTCTCCTTGAAGCATGCGCAACGTGCAAGGAATCCTTTGTAAGGTGGTTAGCGCGCGCAGCGCTGACATGGTTTTAGATGAGCAAATGTTCAAGCTGGTTGAACGAAATCAGTGTGAAAAAGGCGGCTCGTGGGACAAAGCTAAGTTGCCGGATAGGTCTGCCTTGTTCTGCCTTCTTTTTCGATATTGATGCCAACGGCGGCTCACGTAGTAAAGACCCCCACGCTCAGCTTTGTAGTTAGGGCGTACGTGTTGGGAATTCTCATTGCGAGAGCTATATGTATCCTCGGTGCCTCTGAGAGCCATAGAGGGCATAAGAAGGCTACACGCAAACTGTGTGTAAAGATCCTTTATATTCATTTCCCGCATCACAACTGGAAGATTGGTGTGGCGGCCTCCTTTGGCCAGCGTACCGCCTCAGGACTGAGGCTCCGTCGCCAGCAGCAGGGTCGTGCGTTCCGCGTGCGGCCATGTTCTCAGACCTCACGGGATCGCCTGGGCCAAGGTGTCCACCCCACTCACGATTTTTTCTTTCTGATAGCCGGGCTGCGGCACGGTCTGACTTTCTCGGCACTGCTGCCGAGCGTAGTGAAATTATTGAATGTAGCTTTGCCAAGTGTGATGTCGGAAACAGAAGTTACAGGTTCTCTTCTTAGTCCATTTTCTTGAAATGGGCGAAACGCACACAAAGCCTCATAAACCCATCAAAACAGTGCAAGAAACTTTATGTTCTTGTCTTCGTCCATGTTTTGTGAACGGGTGGGCCGCACTGCGAGGTTTTGTAAAGCTTGCACTCAACAGCCTCTAATCGTTCCACTGTCGCGAGATCAGGATCATAAACAACATTTTCAGGATCAAAGAACATGATTTGGAATGCAAGCAACCCCTTCATCTTCTGCCGAGGACGAGGAGGGGGAAGAGGCGGAAATTTTGTTCTCACGCAACTCTTGAATGGAGCGTCCTCGCGATTTGGCGGCTAGAAATCGTGCTCTCGCGAAAAGCGTCGTTGCATGTTGGCTTGATATAAGGTCTCGCGTGGAGCGTCCTCACATTCTGACTCGAAATCATGCTGTCGCGTGGAGCGTTCTAGCATTGTGACTCGGACCCGCGCTCCCTCGTGGAGACTCCTCAAGTTTTGGAATGCTCTACACATCTTTACAAAATTAGAAGCTACTGACAAACAACTAAATTAAATCTACGTCTGTTGGATTGGTCGTATGCTTTGGATCCTGTCTCATCACCAACCGACGCGGCAACTTAGGTATAACACCACGCGGCCAAAGTTCCAACCAGAGTTGGCCGATGCTAGCATTATTGCAGGCTTCTCGTCGCGCATGACTTGCTTTGCCTTGTAGATCTTCGGAGCTTCGCAAAGGTTCTGGCAACTGGCTGCGGCAGAAACAGTTCGATCGTGACCCAGAGATTGGGGGCGTCTTTGCACGAGTTTTTGCAAATTTCGAGCGTCGCTCTGCTGTCGTGGTGTTCAAGGGCATCTGCGATGAGTTGGGTGGGGCTCCTAGGCCACTTTTGTGCTGCCCGGTGGTGGCTGGCTGGCCACGATGAGTGCCATCGTGTGAATACTGAGGCCTTGAACAATGCATCATCGATGCCTGCAAGCTCAGAAGCATCGGTGCCTATGGCCACTTGGCAAGGATCAAGTTGTTCCGCAAGCAGATGGCTTCGGGACCTTAGGTGGCTGTGAGGGGTCTCAAAGACGTGTAGGGCGAGATCGTGCAAAAAGTAGAGACCTCTGCACGCTTTCCACTCGAGATGCCTCGAAGCAAGCGCAAGCGATGAGTGAGGATGTGGTGATCGCTCTCCTGTTTCCAGCAAAATGGTTCTGTGGGTTTTGGCGGGAATGCTCGTCACACTGAAGCTTCTTAAGAACAGAGATGGAAGCCCGCATATTTCCGCGCAATTACTTCCCGACGGCCTCAGGAGAGCTCTCGGGCAGCATGATGACGTTGTTTGGAGCTGCAGCGTGGCAGAATAGAACTTACTTGAAGTGGATGGAAGGCTTTGTCTGATGCTTGTCTCCTGACCCACGTGCCTGCGCAATCTTGCACATGTCGTGCCTGCCGAGTCCTCCAATTCTGCAACCCCGCGGGGCCAAGCCCAGAAATGTGCTCAGGATGAGAAGAGGTGCGAAGGCTATGCAGAGCACTTGAATTACGTTGAGCAGGCCAGAGTCAGTGGAAAAATGGTATGCTCGTGCTGCTTTGTTTTGTATCATGCTGACCCGGAGCAGCAGGCCTTCGACTACGCCACAGCAGTGCGTGCTGCTTTCCCAAACTACGAGTTGACAATGACTGGACACTCCCTAGGAGGCGTGGAACGCATCAAGTGCACACTCCAGCTAGCCCCTACACGTGCTTTCTTGGGTGTGTTATTGTGCTTCAAATGCCCTGTACGGTCAGGCCTGCTGGCCATTGTCACTGCCTACCGGATGGGCCTGAAAGCGTTGACTTTTGCGCCGACTCCCTTTCACAATGTTCTGAAGCAGGAGATCGTAGAGTTCTTGAAGATGATGCCTTCATGCTTTATGGGGGTATGTAGGGGTTATCCATGGTAATGCTGCTGGGGTCGCATGAGCATGTTTTCTCAGGGTGGCAGGCAGCTACCTCTGAAGCATCTGCAACCGAAACGTACATCCTGAATTTTCGTGGCAGAGCAAGGGGGGCGTTTTGTAGGAGGCCGTGCAGCCGAACCAGAAGACGTACTTGCATTTGCAATCGCAGGAAGCACTTAGACTTACAGCTGAGCACATGACAAACGTCATGCTCCGTGAAGGAACTGCACCTCACAGATGCGCAGATCTCGAGCATGGATTCGGAGGATCTGGTACCCTGCCACTGCAGTTAGCAACGGTTTAGGAATTGCTTGCATTCCAAATGTGGATGCGGGCACAGGAATCGGCGATCTGAAGCTACCCTTTTTTATCTGCAGGTTCTTGATGGATTCGAATCCATGCGTTGTCTGCGCTTGTGTAAGCTTCCCTGCGCAGTTACCCACAAATCTTTGGCCAGACAAAGCTCAGTGTAGCAGAAGAGGCAAGTTGGTTTTGGGGCAGCAATGCATGCCCAGGAACTTGGAGCTGAGGTGGCAACTTGTGACCCTTTCGACTGTGGCATAAACTCGGTTTATGTGAACGAAGCACGACGTGGAGCAAAAACGTGTCTTTACGTGGACGCAAGGCAGAAAAGTTGTTGGACCAAGTTCTGAAACTTGGGCTGTTGCTGTCTGCAACTAAGGACACGGATGAGCCATTCCCCTGCAAGTTCCTGCCAGCCCCGTATGAAACTGAAGGCCACCGATCTTTGCTATGATGTTGCGCTGTAACGTTGGGGTGGAGCTGCTTGGGACTGATGAGCAAAGTTCGCCAGACGGTTGCTGCTCAGGTCAGGCATGCAAAGGCCACTTCAAATCACGCACGTCTACGCCATTTGAAGTAAGATCTGACCAATCCTCTCGTATAGTGGTCCGGACAGCTGGCAGCATGCGAACCCCACAAGACTGATCTCTTGAAAAGCTGGCAGGATCGATAGAAGCTTCACAACCCACTTGTAAGTCAAACATAATCCCCATTTTGCTGGGATGTATGTATGCCTTGACCGCTCCAGACTCCTCTCGATGACACCCTGCTTTCAGACTCGCCTACCTGAAGCCATCCATCTTTCAGCTGCAGGCTAGGACCTAGGAATCTGACGTTAGTTCCACGCTCGCCTTTGTGTCAGGCTGGCGAACCTTGTTGCACACACCTGGCCCGTGGTTGCTCCCAGCAGCCTTCAATTTGCTTTGCAAGCTCAGCCGCCCGGTTGAGCAGAGCTTTGCTTGGACATTTTCTTGGACGTCAATTTTCAAGCGCAAATCGCAACTAGACAACGGATGTGTTGGGAGCGTCTCATTTATGAACAAAATTCCATCCTGACCATAGTCATGCTTGTCATCACCATTGTCACACTTGTTGCAAGAATTATCGCCATATTGACACGGCGGGGAGACAGAGAGGGTAGCCAGCTTGTATTGCAAAAAATCCACAATCAGTACTGCCATGAAATGTGAAGAGTAAGCACGGCGCAGCAGTGATTGCACAGAGGAGCGCGAAATGCGGTGCTCCCGTCACTACACCCAGACTACAGCTGTACTATAAAGTTGTCTCGTTCGCGTCCTGACGGTTCCGCAGGGTTCTCTTGCAAACGATCCATGCCCGTTGAACCTCCAGCGGGTTCTTCACCCCTAACCCCCCACCCCTGCATACGGTACCAAGCTCGTAGAGCTTCCAAGCTATACCAAAGCCACCGAGTGGGAGCCTGAGTATTCGTAAAGATAGGGGGCAGAGGGAGGGGGTGTTTTGGTGGGTTCGTAGTAGGAGAGCCATTACAAAAGGTGGGTACCCCCTTTTCGCAAGCGACCTGAAAACCATGCCTTACCAAGTATCATTACCCTACACCCTAGCCCCGTAGACCCCCCCAGGCCTACCCCTCTCACTGCCGCATCCATATCGGAAATAGTTCTGACCTATTTACACTCCCCCCACCCCCCCAAGGCAAGGGCCATTATTGTACCCACAACAATGAATTGCGGCGCCACTGCCTCGAACAATCGTCTAGCGGTCACGCCGGGTGACCCTGCTCTTGCGGTGCCCAATCGTTGAGAGCATACTCCCCCGGGTACTTCCAAGCGGGTAAGTCCCAGCAACACACGGAGAAAGGGGTTAACCATTCCGAATTCGAGCGATCGGTCGGTCGAGCACCTGAATAAAGGGGTTCCACGCCTGTTAGTATTAATAGTATAATGATAGGAATAGAAATGCTGCAGCTCCGGTCTGGTAGAATAACAGGGAAAACATGAAAAACATGTTTGGGCTCCTAGGTCCTAGAGAGGTAAAATCTTAGGGGGAACATTGTCTTCAACGTCAGCATCGTCTATGACTTTCGGGGCAGGGCTAGGGAAGGGGGGCCGCCTCACCATGACCACCAGCTGGCAGGCCGGCCCCAGGTGCGTCATGGCGGGGGAAAGGTAGGCAGGTACGTTTGTGTGGGGTGTGGGGGGGAGCCCCCCCGCGCTCTCTCTGTCCCTTGCCTGTTGCTTCATACTCGTAAATTCCTTAAAAAACCATTGAAAAACAGGGTTCGCACACACACAAACACACACCGAGATGTGGGGCTCCAACAGAAGAGGCCTTTGCGAAGACGTCGTAAGCAATGAGAAAGAAAAGAGTCAAGCCATGGGCCGTATGGTTACGGTGCATAATCGAACGTTATGGTTTTCAGAGCAGAGCCATGCGTGCGCCTGAGGTGCTCATCATTGGGAGCGATACGAGGTTTGGGTTTCCGAAAACCACTTTGGAGGTTTCCCATACATAGTTCCCAACAAGTGTGTGTAAGCCCTGCAGCCAACAAGTTGAAACCTAGCACACGAGAGACACATAGATGTACTGCCACAAAGCCAGGAGATAGTGCTTGCACGAGAGGGTGATGACGGGCCTAGAAATCTCCCGGTGGCCTGGCTGCAATGTGGAATACGTTCGTCTAGTTTGGTGCGCAAGAGACAACGGAGAAGGTCTCGAGGCAGGCATCCGGAGGGCACTGACTTGTGAAAGTCAACTAACATGCGTGATGAACGTGTGCTTGCAGTTTTGCGACTTGCAGGCCCAAAGCCTTACCTCTTCACGCTCCCAAGGTCTGCAACACGGACTACAGTGTCTTGGACATCACTGACAACATGCTGCAGAAGACGGATTTTATTCGTGCATGGTTTGCGAAATATCGTCCAGCATAGGAGTTTCCACCTGAACTGGCGGAGCAGAACTGTGATCCCTGCTGGCAAAAGCTGCGGCTACTCATGTTTTCAAGCATGAATGTTTTCCTGCAGGATCATCAAGACACAGGTAGGGTGCACCTGTGATTCAGACTTAGCATGATGAGTGCTCGAATAACCTGTACTAAATCAACTCCCAGTTGTCTGCTTTAAAGGGGTTGAATGCGATGTTACACCATGCAGATCCACGAAGACAGTATCCTGCAACTTTTGGCCCAAGCACAAGTTGCTGGAAGCTCCAGGATGCTGGCCAATCACCTGGACGTTATCAGCATCCCACTTTTCCTTGCAGGCAGTGGGTTGCTCCAAACCCTTTGCCTCATCAAGCTCATTCGTCTGTCCATTGAAAATGGTCATCACGTGGCTCAGTTCTTCCGAGCATGTGCATGGCGATCACAGTGGTGGGTGAGGAGTTTCGGGGAAGCTGATAAGACAACAGAGGAACGAGGGATTGCTCGAGAGGTTCGCAGTCTGCGATTGCGATTGGCACACATCTATCTGAATTTCTTTGTGGTTATCACCGGCCTGTCAGTTATCTCTATACAGCTGGGCATCGCACAGGACAGGCAATCTGACGCGCCTCCGGCATTTTATTGGACCATCCTGCTAATGTTCGCCCTCTCCACGATACTCTTTTTATTTCCGAGGATGCTGCACTCGCTAACCATGGACATGTTTCATTTGGCTCTTATGGTGGCATCCGCATTCTTACTGAGTCCCTGGTGCACGCGACCAGATTCGATTCAATACATGTCGATTGTCATCCTGGCCTTTTTGCGTCTCCCAGCAGCTAGTTTTGCCACCCGCCCATCAGTTGCTGTTGCCAGCAACATTGGGGTTCTTGTGGTCATGCTGCTGCGGACGACTCTAGATGACGGGCTGCAAAGCAGCAGCAATTGCCAGATGACCGGCGTGGTTGTGCGGGCTGTCGTTGTCACCGAAGTGTCCGCATTGGTTCTTGTGGCGGGGATTTCTTTATCAGCAGAGGCGGGTCGAGCTGGTTGTTGCAGGGCAGCTGCAGGGTAGTAGCTTGGGGATGTTTTCATCCGGTCACTTTGCAGTCTTAGTGTTTGCGCAGCGGAGTGGTTTAGATTGATTTGATTGCAGTCTGTGGTGGAGAAACGATTGTCTTCAGAGTTTTCACCAGGACAGCCAACGCATCACCACCCAGTTAATCGCAAGTATCATGATCAGATAGAAAAGATGGTTTTCATGCTGCTTTTGCATGAACGTTGCAGGGTAGCAGGGTTGGGAAGGGTTGGGGGTGTTTGGGGTGTACATGCACGTGTTGCTCACAAGGTCTTGCTGCGCAAAACTGTGCAGCAGCACCGACAGTACAATGAAGCGGCAAATGAGCTCAGTGCTGCGACCTCGCTTCTACGCCTGACCTGTGATGCAGTGGTGGAGCTGGACGAGGACCATTGCTAATCAGGCGCAGTAGGCCCAGCTTCCTTTGGCGTAGAGTAGAAACTGTCGGAGGACCTGTGCCTCACGGAGCACTCTCCGGAGCTTGCCGCCATCCTCCTCCGCGACCGACCTGGCTCGACACTCCAGGGCGTCAAGTTCACGGACTTTGTGGCCACCACCGAAGAAGCTGTTCAGGCTGCAGAGCTTTTGAACGGGCGGGAGAGCTTGAATGGATGTGTGTCCACTCATGCCTTTCACACGCGCCTTATGGACACCAGCTCAAGCAAGTTCAGCACGGAGCTCTTCCAAGTCAAGTATTGCAAGCTAGGCAACACGGTGCGCCATCTCGTTGGCTTGCGGGAGGTTGCGGATCAGCAGTCTTTGGTCAAATCAGATGCAAACGAAGCAGTAGCAGGCCCTGCAGATGCCGATGACTCTTCAATGTCCTGTCCTTACCGACTCTTCAATTCCGTAGACTATGGCGAGAGGTCTCCCGTGGGGCATGAAACGAGCCGACTGAGTTCATCTGCAAAGTCCTTGGATCTTGATAGATACGATAAGACAGATAGGCCGATCGTTTACTTGTTTCTTGACATGGAATCATGCTGCATAGGGGCAGCCTCTGTTGTGGCCTCGAGCCTCGTTGGAATGAAGTTGGCTGGGTTGTTTCCTGGAAGAGGTTTTGAGATCCTGCAGGCCTTGTGGGCAGAGGTAGACCGATGTGAAGATGCATCCGAGCTGAACCTTTTCACTCAAAAGCAGCACTTCTTCCGGGAGTGGTTGGTGCAGTGGAGCCCTTCACAGAGTGATTTTGTTGACGGAGTCGTTGAGATTCTGCAGAGCACAAACGGATCGCATGGCTTGCTTCTACGCTGCAAAGCGTCCCTGCTTTCCTCACCTTCCTCAGGTGGGGCAAAATCAGCAGAAGTCCCAGGAAAACCGTCACTGCTCCCAGTGCTCCCTGGGATGCCTTTCCAGGACAAAGTTCTGACTTTACAGTAATATTCAGAGGCTAGCTGTCTTGCCCATCTGGCAGGCTTTCTGGTTGGTTTTGAAGGGAACCTGAACAGCAAATCCAACAGCCTCCAGGCAGCTTGATGAAGAGAGTTGAGGAAACTTAGATAAACTTAGCATGCTTGGTCTTTCAGAATTCGCGGCTTCATTGCTCAATGTGTTTAATGTCTCGAGCAGAGAAGGCCTCTCGCTCCCCCCAAAGGGGCGCAAGCGAGCAAGCCTGAGCCACCAACAACTCTTTGAATCATTCTTCTCTGGCTTTCGTTGGGTTTTGTCGGCATGGCCTGCGGTAATCTTGTGTGAAGTTTGTGTAGGCCAGCCTTCCTGCCAACCCTTTTGCTGCTCCGTCCTTCACGATAGAGAGGCCGGAAGAGACTGCGGATGAGTTCAACAAAAGAAAGGTAAACCTGCGTCAGCATGGAGCATGTCGCAGATTAGGACATTTGGCTTCAGAAGCCTTGGTGGTCGTTGCCTCACGGCAAAACTCAAGAAGAGCTAATGGCGTATTCCTGTGAGATTCGTTTGAGAGGAGGCCTTTCCCTCTACCTGGAGCTGCATCGTTTTTGCTTCTTCTTGGGTTTGATGCTTTCAGCCTGCAGTCAGATTTTGCCATCCTTGGCATGCAGAAGCCTGTTGTTGCTGGCTTTGCTAATCGAAGGAGAGAGGGCCAAAACCCCTTCCGTTGAATGTGGGATTGTATATGTGTTATAGGTATCCTGCCCATGCAGTACTTCACTTGGTATTGTTAAGGACTTCATGTTTTGTTTCTATGTAAAAGCAACGAAGCAAGTCTCAGAAATGGTGCAGTGAAGCAGACCCGGATGAGTGCAAGAATGCTTGTTTATACATTTCAAACCACGGTCGACCAAGCAATCCTTTGGCACTGGGGAGCAAGCGTCGGTTGCCAGTTCCCTTGTCTGTCATGTATTTGCTTAGGGAGTGGCTGACCTTGGCGCAATCCTTCGCATCATCACATCCCTCCACGCGCGAATTTGTAGATTCAGCAGGGCCAGCCACTGTGCTACTCCAACCCCAAGGCCCGAAGCCCAAGAAACAAAATCCTCAAACCCAGGCTCACCTGCGAACGTCTGTCCCCCAGCTTGTGCTTTCTGGAAGCAGCTCAAGACCTGGAGCGCATGGAAAGGGTCATGCTGTAGCTTTCTTTGTGACCTACTCATAGAATAGAGGTGTACCCCACATGGAAGACAAGGTGATGTGTCCATGCTTCGTTTAGTTTACTGCAGTGGCTGCAGAACTTCTGGCCCAAAGCAGAAGGCCAAAGCTTGCAGCCCCTTGCTTGGCTGCCATGATGATGCCTGTGAACCCCGCATATCCCGCAGGCCATGGCCAAATTGGCCAAATGGCCTTCCAGGTGGTTGGCGTTGTGGGCGGCGACCCTCTGCAGGGAACAACCTACTGCGTCGCTGTGCCCGTCTCCTTTGTTGCGGTGTCTTCCGCTGAAGCTCTCGGTAAGCCTGGAAGAGATGAGCTGCCATGGCAATGTCCAAGTCAAGAACCCTCAGACGATGCTGAGTCCGAGACAAGTGCTGGGACCGAAACTTGGTTGCACAGTGGCTCGGCACGTCAGCTAGAGCAGCTCTAGACCAGAAACCTGGACGTGCTCTCAGGGCAGGTTATCGGACAGAAGCTGGGCCACAGCCTCATCCGAGCAGTTCTTTGACTCTCCGCTGCGTGGGCGGGTGTGGCTTTGTGGCAAACTGTTTGTTTCTCAGTAAAAGAGTGAACCTCCCAACTGCTCCAATGACACGACACTTCAGGTGGGACCTGTCCAGGAAACAGCGGGGATGCCGACAGGCCAGGCATGGCAGGGCTGCCAGGATCAGCCAGAAGTGGGCCTGTTTGAGTTGTTTGAGCAGAAGGCATAAGCGTTGTCAGGTGCAGGATGCCATTGAGCAGGCCAGCCACGAAGAAAGGAAAGAGCTGGCAGTCGAGCTGGAGGGTCATGTGTGGAGACTTGGCGGAGGCTGATAGCTCCAGTCATCAAATCCGTGCGTAGTTGAATGCTGTCTGAAATGCAAATTGAGATGTTCCTTCTTTGAAGCACAAGGTCAAGCTTGAAGCTACAAGTGTGGTAGTGACTGGTAGTGATAGATGAGCGATTTCTCAGATCAGTTCATCAGGACTTCTTTTACCTGACTGCGTCGGGCATCCCAACTAGTAGATGCGGGTAGTGCGCCTCCTTTCCTGGCATGGTGGCTTGAGAGTCAACGGGCCCCGTGAACTTGCCTGATGCACTCGATCCTGAGGTCAGCCATCCACTCCCCATGTGCCAACTACGTGCTGCAGAAGCTGATTACGACTTTGGGCTCGGACTGCCAGCTACCAACCTGCAAATCCAGAAATTGGAGTGCTCTACTGGAGTCTACTAGTACCCTCCCACAGGTTGAAGCCCAATCGCCTCGGGTAATGACGTTTTCGGAGCTCGGGGGATGCCAGCCAATCGATAAGTCCAAGAGGAAGGAGCACCGCGTATTGGCAGCCCCCGGAGAAGGAGTGACGGCACCTCAGGCATCCCCGACGCTGGGGAGCACTCACTCACTCACTTACCTTCTCATTCACTCACTCACTGACAAAGGACACCCAGTGTTGTCCCCGAAGCCTTTAAGCGTGCTTCGATGCCGCTGCCCTTACCTCGAGAGGACAGCATGGCTGCATGTGTTTGGGCACTGGAACGGAAGCAAGACTCTAGCAAAATAATTCAGTGAAGAGTCAGGTGGGAGCAATAAACGTGAAGAGAGTGAAGGGGCGAAAAAAGGCACCAAGGGAACGGAAATGAGGGAGGAGACGCCATCAAGGGTCATAGCTGAAGGTGGACGGTTGCTGTAATTTCAACGTTTCACGGTGAGCTTAGCGGAAGATTCCGTGGGAAGATTGCGCTCGTTTGTGTGGCTATGCTCGGGGGATGACACTAATCTTTCCATCAAGATGTCTGACTAAGGACAGTGACCGGTACGAACATGGACAAGGTAAATGCATAGAGGGAGTCATCCAGTGTTCGCCAAACTCAGGTTCATAATCGACGAGCTTCTGCAGCAAGGGCCGGATGCAATCTCCTCGGTCGCGAAAAATGAGCAGCTTGTACTTAGCAGACTGAGCCGAGCATGTGAAAGCAGCAAAGCCGTTGTTGGAAGCTAGGGATCTTTGAAGCTGATCTGTGCTTGTTTAGAGCCAGGTATGGCTGCAGAATTCTTCAGCGACTGTTTGAGAAATGCAGCAGCAAGCAAACCAGAGGCGGGATTGGCCGTGATGCAACTAAGCCAAAATCTTCGTGGACCCACAGACAAAGACATTTTCATGGGGTTGCGTATGTGAGCAAGTCAGTCACACAATGAGGTTATGGCCTGGCTCATGCTGTCAATGCTAGGAGCGGTAAGGTTTCCTGGTGCTGAGTCCCTGCTGGGATGTCTTTCTGTCATTGCCTTTGAGATCAACTCCCCATCTCCCGCAAGAACCCAAGTTCTGTTGTTTCTGTCGAGGTTCTCTTGGAGTCAAACGAAAAGTGGCATCCCATCCCTAGTTGGTATCTTTTATAGTTCAGAAATGGCCGCTACCTGATTGTCTTTGGACCCCTTTTCTTTCGCTCTTGACGAATGGGACCTTGGCAGATGCAATCGCAGCAGTTTGTCTTTCGTGAACCCATACAAACCCAAAGGCTTTCACCTCTAAGAAGAGAGCTGGTCATGCCCTCAACGATTCCCTTCAGAATTCTAAGCTTTGGGATAACGCAGAACGCTCTTGTAGATGAAGCCTGTTGTGAATTTCGACCTGCAGCAAGAACAACGCGTCTGATTCGAGGGGGTGACCATCCGACACAACCCAAATGTCAGAGGATAGTTCGCACTGCAATGGTTGAGACATTAGCCAGAACTCCGGCACGCGGGGGTCTTGCAGTTGTTGCAGCAACGCGTGGATCTTTCACCATGAGCAGGCCTCATAGCAGTCCTTCTTGAACATGTGCTTCTTGGCTTTATTATTGCCTTGGAGGCTTTCTCGGACTCGCTCACACAAGAGGGTATGTGCATCAGGCGAGCGCTCCAGCTAAACGGTCGATTGAATTGTTGGGGATTATGATGATGGCCCTGCTGCTCATGATGCAGACTTGAAGACTGCCCTTGCGCAGTAGATGAACCTTGTAACCTACCTCGTCAAGCAAACAAACCTAATTATCTCGCAACAGTTGAAGCAAGCTTTTGCTGCTTACCATTGCATCGGGAGTGAGCCTCGAGGGATTAGTGACTAGTGACTAGTGTGAAGGATGATATGCTCCTTCAATATGATTGTTTAGGGGATTATACAGGGGACTACAATAGGGGTTTTTAAGGGGGATGCGAGTTTAGACAATGGATCATATGTAGGAAATACAGCAGGGATCCATGGCACGAATCAGGCTGACCTTGGCCCGACATCGCTATGGCAACTACGCAGTGGTCTCAGCAAATTTCCCAGGACATCAGGGAACAAGTGAACTCGCGTTTTCCTTTGGACTCCTTCGCGCAGTAGCGACTGCAGCCCTGTGTGACTGCGTGCCTCCCTCCATTTTGAATTTATGCTGTAAGCGCTTTGGCAACTTGTGGTAGCTCAGCTCTTGTCATCTCTTGTCTAGGTTTGGGTTGTGCTTTGGGTTTGCTGGAAGCGTAAGACGAGGCGGTTGGATCTCAGGCCGACGCATTCGCTTCCAAGGTTTCGCATTGCAGTGCTAGAGGTTTATACGGCCCAGTGGCATGTCATACTGTCATACTAGACCCTGGAGCTGAGGCCTTCCATGAACCTTGACTATCCCTGCAGTAGCATGGTGGCTAACAGTTTTAATGCCCCACAGACCGTTTTCAGGTGGTGCAGCAGCTGCTGGAACACGGCACCCCGGGTCAGGTTCATGAGGTGGGCCGACTGCTGGCTATGAAGAATCCATGGAAGTCGTCGTCATGATAAGCCACAATCAGCATCAGAAAAAATCACACACGTGTTGA